TTATTTGTGCCAATAAAAAAGGATATTTTTTGTTTTTTTCCTTTTTTGGTTTGTATCACCGGCGCAAATAAGTAAATTGCAACCGAGTGCATTTATGCGCCCCCAAAACTGGTTCCTAGCCACTATGCACTCTCTACCCAAAATGGAAATGATTGTCATTGTTGTTATCTATAAAAAACACTAACGGTTACACAATTTTTATGCACTGTCATGCTAATGCGAAAACAAAACAATCAAATACGTGAAAACAAAACAATTGAATAAGTGAAAGATTTAATGCAATAAATATCATCTTAGAGTTAGGATTAAGTGGATTAAGGTCAAAGGATGGGTATAAATTATACCAAAATTTTGCAAGGAATTTTTTTTGTTAGAATATGTAAAGCAGTTTTATAAACAAAATTTCAAGTTATTGAAGATTTTTGTAAAAGGTGTAATTTTCATATTATATCTAATTCTTCAATCTAATTAGTTAAGATTATATGCAGGAAAAAATTTTGTAAATAAGCTAGAGGTGTTGGCTAATATAGCTGAATTATATGACTCTTGCTTCGAATTGACCAATAGAATTGTAAATAAAATAAAAATTATAATAATTATTAATTAAAACTATTTTTTTTTTTTTTGATTTTAAGGTGACCTCTTTGCTATGCTGCTCTTTATTCGAATATTAGTAGTATTTTTAACCATCAGACATATCTTGACAGCTATACATATTTGTTGGGTACAACTAGCCATACCTGCGCCTTTTGAGCGCCTATTTAAATAGTCTGCCTATCATCAGGTTCTACACTAGATGCCGTACCTGCACCCTACTAGGGGGGTTACCCATTTAAACCCTCTGCGGCTATGTATCAATCCTTTTATATCCAAGCAATGATACTTAGTACCACCTTATTTTCACATGCTGGTTTAGGGCTTTAAATCGGACTCTACTATTTTAGGGAGTCCTTTAACCTCTAGATAAACCTGCTAGAGCCTTCCATATCTATATTTAGGCTGATCTAGGCTTCGGTAACTTACACCTAGTTCAAGAACAAGTACTTGTAAGCCAAAGCCGCTACCGTTACCTACTTTTGCCCTTATAGAGTTCACTCTACCCCAGCCCCTTACTCATCCAATCGGGAACCTTTCCACTGTTTTACCAAACTTCCAATCCAGATAGCCCAGTTTGGTTCACAAGTTACGTTACCCGCTTTCCTACTAGCTTAACCCAGATACCGGCTTATGCACTTTTCTTCCAGTCGATTCCGACGGCCTGGTTGGTATAGTGCTCGCCAAATATCCGGTCCTCATCCAGATCCACAGCTTATTGGTTCTCTTTTCAGACTTTCCAGAACTGTCGAAAGTAGTACTACCTCTCTACTCGAGACTTGCCAAGCGGATTCCTATTCGGGACAAAGTTCAACGGATTTACACAGATCCCAGGAACTTTTTATGAGTTTACACCACCTTTTATTAGTTTGTATCTCTTTGTATAACTCCTCTATTACACGAATACCCCAAGATCTTCCAAGTCTATACTACCATCTCCGATTAGGGCTTGCAAGATAAGCCGTCCGTTAGGCGATCATTACTCCTTGCACCTATTTGGTCTGACCGTCATTATAGGATCTCCATCCCAACACCCGAAATAGTCATCAATGCACAGAAGAATTCGATTTTTCATTGTCGTTAAGAATTGAACTTTGGATGTGCCACTTGGGGAGTGACAACTTGACCATTTCACTAAGTCGCCACACCCCTATTAAAACTATTTTATTATGATAACTTTGTTAAAGCTTCTAATAAAAGTTGTAGAGAAGATTATTGCAATTCTAATGATAGTAAGAACATTAAAATTGGTCTTGTAAATCACAATTCTTTAATATTCTTAAATTTTTTAAGAAACTTTAATATATCTTATGATCTATAAGATTGATTTTAATGATTTTACTATTATTAGAATTGCAATAACATTTTCTACAACTTTTTTATAATAAAAAATTAGTTTTAATTAATAGTTTTTTATTATTATCTTATTTGTGATTCTATTGGTCAATTCTAAACATAAAAATTATATAACTTTTCTGAAATCAGCAAATCTCTTCTAATTGACCTTTATAGTAGCTTATATCATAATACAAACAAGGTTATATGATATATTACTTTTTATTAGCCAGCCATTAGCAAGCTGAAAGTTAAGAATACTGATCATATAACAAGTCACCTTCCTATTAGCTAGCTGTTAGCCGATATTTTAATTGGTTAGCTTAATCAGTATCAGCAAAATATATAAACGTAATCTTACAAAAGTTATTACGGCCCGAAAAATTCTGCAATAATTACGATCAACATAAAATATTTCAAAATTTTTAATTATGAAATATTACGAAATATATTATGAAATATTACGTAATTTATTATAAATATTTCAATACAATTCGAACTAATTCAAATTCATTCAAAATATGCAAAATTTGTTACATAATTAGATAGTATTAAAAAAAATATTTATAAAATATTGAAATTGTAAATTAAAATTTGAAAAAAAGGGTGTAGTGACTTAGTGAAGTTGGCAAGTTGTCGCACCTCCAAGCAGCAAGACTAGAGTTTAAATCACACCGGCAATGAAAATTCAAATTATAGAAAATGTATTTGGAAGACTATATCCTATTAGGTTGTAGAACCTGTAATGATGGTCGTACCAGCTTGTACTGGGAGGTAGTGGAACATGTAGTGTAATGTACGAGTTACACAAAATCTAAGTGAAACTACCAGATAAATTCAGTGAATTTACAGGATACAGAAGCCTGCTTGGCAAGACCTGAGTGGAGAGGTAGCACAGATCTTTGATGATTACTATGTAAAGGATGATCAACTGGATATCAGAAAATTGAACGGAACTGAGGTGTTTGGCAAAAACACTATACTAACCAGGCCGACGGTGAAAAACGGAGGAAGGGTCTGCCCTTCTAAGCTGTAGGATTGGGAGTTTGGGTTTCCGGAGATATGGAAGAGAGTCCGTAAAGTAGGTATCAGGGTTTGAGTAAACTCTACAAGAGCAGTAGTAGGTAACTGTAGTGGCTTCGGCTCGCAAGTACTTGTTCTCGGACTCGGCGTAAGTTACCGAAAAGGTCTAGTCTGGAAATGTGTAGGACATAGAAAGATTAGGAGAGTATATACTACATCCTCCCTAGCGTAACCTGGTAAGTATGAAAACCCTACTGGGTTATCTATAGAATTAGGGCACAAGTAGTGTAGTACATGTCGATCTGGGTGGTTTTTAAATGTAGCAGCACGAGGTTATGGGCCGGCATAATTGTAGGTAGTAGTAAATGTACTATATAAATTCCTAATAAAAATTCGCCTGTTCGTAATATTGCAAGGGGAAAAAAAAAAAAAATTTGAAAAATGTGAATCTCTTTGAATTTATCAAATTATTATTTAAATAATTTTGAATTGATATATATTTGTATAGCATATTTTTTTTTTATTTCATTTATTCAAATTATTTCGAATTATACTGAATTTAATAACTAAAAAACAATTTATTCATATAAATAAATACTATAAATTTTATAGCTTAAACTATATTATTTTTTTATTTAAAATTTTTAAATATATATATAAAAAAAGCTAACTAATCTTATATTAAAGAAATATATAAAAAATAAAAAAAACCCAGCAGTATTATTCATATATAAAAAAAAACAAACAAAAAAAAAAACTTTTACTCATTATTATCTGTATTTTTCTCATTATTATCAGTATCTTTTTTTAAATTGTCATCGTCACCCAAAGATAAAGAACCGGAAAATATGGGGAATTATTTTCATCTGCTTCATTTTTACCTTCTTTATCTTCATTTGAATCTATTTGCACTAATTTAGATATGTTAAAATTATTTAGCAATTACAAAATATAATAAATTAATTTGACTAATTATGATATTCTTTTATTACTTACCAACTCGTGACCTTTATTTGTCTAAAATAATTTATAAATATTAAATTATATTAGAATTTTATTATTTACCACTATAGCAATTTACCGCAGGCCCTTAAAATCACGTGATATTATATATAACTATATATATACTACAAATTATATTACTATATTATACAATTTATATTACTATACTATACAATTATAAACATTGCCAAACAAATTAGAAAGACTATCAAAATATATTAGTTTCACATAACTTGTATTTCACGACTCTTATTTTAATGTATCGCATTTATCAGTCTACTAGGTTGGTAATATAGTTCTTCTGATCTATGAATCAGATTTCCAGATTAGATGAACATAACACGATCAAGATTCAAAACAAACATTTCACTCTGCCAAAAATTGTTAATAATTCAAAAATCGGCATAAAAAACAACCTTTTGTCACTAACAAAAAAGTTTTCGTTAGACAACTTTACTATTAAAATTAATACTCTCTAACTCTTAACTATGACACTAACCCTGATCTTAACGAATTTTAAGAATTTTGTCTGTGTTACCAACCTGGTACACATTTTCCGATTCCGTCCTTGTAAGCTAAAGTTTGGGCGTCATATGGGGTGCGGACAATAGAAACAGCCCATTTTTACATTTTTTTGAAAATTGAGTTTTTATTAGATTCATATAAATTTTGACATGATTAACATTTTTCAATTATAAATGAAAGTCGATTTGCATATTAAAAAATCAAGATAATGTAAAAGAAAAATTACACAAGGCTTCATAGAGCCAACACATTATGAGATTATCTGATAGTCACCTGCTACCTTTAGCCAATCAAAATTGTGAAATTTGATCAATCCCGGATCAGTCCAAAAATCAAAACAAATGATTAAACTCAATTATCTCAAAATAAGTTAAATGTAAAAATGGACTGTTTCTATTGTCCGTACCCAATATAATAATACAACGAATATTAACAATATTGACTATTTAGGCTGCCGTGAATAGAAATCAAGTAAATTTATTAAATAAATCTGCTTGAATTCTATTCACGGCAGCCCATTTACTCTGAACATGTACTTCAAATTAATCCTGTGTCAAGCCAAAATAGCTATAATCACACTAATATCTATCCTAAACCCTAACATGGGCTTCTCTCTAATCCTAATAGAATTCAGTATTTAACTTTTGGCCTAATGCAATTTTAATTTGATGTACAACAAATACTTGAACCTAGTTCCAACTAATAGCATATTTGTTTTGTAATAGATGTGCTAAAAATATCAAGTTTGAGATGAATACTAAACTACGGCATTTACAATGAACAATCATTTGATTGTTTCATGTACAATAAACAATCGTTTGATTGTTTCATGATTACAATAAAATATACAATCCTAGCAGTAGTTACAACAGCATATATTACTTTTACCTATACTAACGTGTTGTTACCTTATAATTCTTCTGATAATGGCCAACGTTTTCACATTTTTTGCATCGGCGCTGATTTTTTGTTGATTTAGAACTCTCATAAGAAGATTTAAACCTTTTGGTACCTAATAGCTGACCTTTGCCTCGACGCTTTTTGGGATTTTGTATTTGAACTGTTGTTACAGAATCATGATTTTTCTTATCACTGGTATTATCATGCAAACTTTCTTCAGAATCTGATGACTTGTCACTCTCTATTTCAACAAATTCTTCCAATAAATTAATAAGCTGCTGCGACTTGTTGTCCTGTAATGCTTTGTGCAGGGCTTTTTTGTATATTCTATGCAATCTTCCATACACAATTTTTTGTTCAAGTACTGTCAGGTTCTCTTCATAAAAGTCCGTTTCAGTCTGATCAAACACACTTAAATATGGTACACATCCATTATAATTCGGTACTATAGGCTCAATTTCTTGCATAAATTTATCGGCAACTAAGAAAGGCTCCTCTGATCTATTTTGTCCAATACAATACCATCATGATGGTATAAGCTGAATGTGAAATATTGCTGTTTTTGTAACTAACATTATTTGGAAATAATGTCTACATATAACTTCAGATCGTATAATTGAAAGACATGAGCAAATATATTTATAGTTTTGTAATAAGAGAATATAGTGTTTAGTTTGCAATGAGTTTCTAACACTAACTGCCCATATTTCTATAATGTTATGATTTCTAACAAATTTGATCATATGTTTCAAAGTCGTTTGTGGAAGATCAACAGCTGATTCATTTAACAGTATATTTTCGTATTCCTAACATTGCAAATTTAGCTTAAACATATTGAATGTACAACTTGTAAAACAAAATAGAGTTCGAAATCGGTTTATTTTTCATAAGTTAAAACTGATAAAACCTTGCTTTAACATATGAAAATAAACTGACTCCAAACTCAAACAGAATTTATCACTTCACTTACTTTATTTAAGTGTTTGACTTTTTCACAATCGACTTGGGTCGCCATATAATATAATGACTGGTTTATTTCATGTCTATGTATTTTTAACATCGTAGGTCCAAGAAACCGTTGGAGACACTGATCAACCTTCATGAACAGAAAGTTCATTTTTTCCTGATTTTTAACAGATGAAATGGCTAATCACCAAAATCTATACTCATTTTCCTTATCATGATTATTAAGTAGCTTATGAATTTCTTTTACTAGATCACATAGCGAAATGCTTGAATTACAGATTAGCCTTTTTAAACATACATTCATAGATTCAACTCGAGAGGTAGCAATCATCCCACCTGTAAATTTATAGGCAATATAATAATGCGCCCAAGATGTCTTAGTTTTATATAAAACTTCAAGATAATGTTTAGCACTAGAATAATCTATTAAAAGTTTATTAAATTGTTGTTCAAAATTTTCCTTAACAAGACTGTTGCGACAGTTATAAAATTCTGTAAGAAATTTTGGATAATCATTTCCTAAAGATTTCCTTAGATTTTTATGTAAATTTTGCGATATGTGAAAAGCACAATGAATGGCATATGTAGAATGAAAAACTTGACGAATAGCCATATTAATGACTGGGTCTGCATCAGTAATCATTATTTTTGGTTAGGTTTTGGTTGCTTCAATTATCTTAAGAAATGCCCATTTATGAGATTCAAGACTTTCGTCTATTAAAAGTGCCTGTGCAAGCAATATATTATGACGGTCATTGTCGAAGCCAACAAATAATGACAATGCCATTCCATATCTATTAGTATTATGAGTGACATCATTGAGTATACAATCAGAATACTTAATCCAATATTCAACTTGTGTTGGAGTTATCTATAATAAATGTGTTAAATAGTTTTTACTATCCCACCCTTTAGCAACAACCCATCGTGGGTCACTGTCTTTCTTTTGGTCCAACCAATTAGAAACTTTTGCAGCATCATCAAATAGAAATTTTTTGGTAGACTAAAATTTTCGCATAATAGCAAAAAGGTCTTTTGAATAAACCGGGTGTGAAGAATATTTTCCCTCCAAGAACTTCTTCTGTATTGTTGTGCCAAACTTACAACATATAGTCATAAATCGTACATCTTCTATCATTTGATCTGTAAATTTTTTACCATCTTCAAACTCGATTATGTCTTGACTTAACATATGGTTGTGCTCATCTTTTACTTTGTTGACAATTATAGCTGTTTCAGGATTGTTGGTCTTCGGGCATGATACATTAACTAAAAATGGGCACCAGGATTTCTTTGTGTTGGTACCTTGTTCTGAAGTAAACTTATATGATCTACTATGATCACATAAAAAGTACGCCGATGAATAAAACCCTCTTCACGACAGACTCGATCCTTAACAATTCGAAAACTCTGTTTCTTAGCCCAATCAATGATGAAATTTTCATATGCATCCCATGATACAAATCTTTTTCTGGAATATAAAATTGAATGTTCATCTTCCCAGTTAAGAATTGCTTCATTAATATGACCCTCTATTAAAAGTCAAACCAAATTACATTAGATTATAAACTCGTAAACATATATCGCCTTATATGCTATATGATAATATAACAAATGTACCAGCTTCAATTGTAGAAGGTGGTAACGCAGCAGCAGCAGGGTAAGTAGATTCATATTGTTCTTCTGGAGAACTTACAGAATAAATAAATTCTTTTAGAAAGCTGATAAAACATATAAATCATCAACACCTAACAAATAAAACGTATTTTTACTGTTAATATATGTAGACAAATGCACTTTCTCTAGAAGATCGTTGGGATAATTAGGTTCGTGTTCTTCTTCTTCTTCTAAATAGTTAATAGGATAAGCGGAATTGTATGTTTCTAGGAAACCGGCACAGTAAAATGAGTAATATTGCTGAAAAAAAATACCCATACTATAATTAGACTCATATTCTCCCTCTGAAGAACCAACAGATTCATATTCTCCTTCCGAATAAGTAACAAGATTATTAGACTGTTCCTTTTTCTCTATTTGAACCTTCGGCATTCACTTCTATGTTGTAATATATATATAGCTTAGTATACTTAAAATGGGGAAAAAACTAAGCAAATTATTCTTACTTTAGCTTTGTAATAAAAAGCTTTTAGCTTGCAGGTATTAGTAAGCTTAATTGAGCGGTATGAGTTAACGGGTATGTGTGAACTTGTATAAGCGGGTATAGGTGAGCTTAATTAAGCGAATATATATGAGTGAACTTCACGATTGCTTAATAGTTGAGCTTCAAGTTTGCTTAGTTTAGTGGGTGTGGTTGAGCTTCACGTTTGCTTAGTTTAATAGGTGTGGTTGAACTTCACGTTTGCTTAGTTAAGTGGGTGTGGTTGAGCTTCATGTTCGTTTAGTTTAGTGGGTGTGGTTGAGCTTTACGTTTGCTTAGTTGCTTTGAATGTGTAAAAACTTTACGTTTGCTTAATTCTGTCAGATGTGAAAAAGCTTAAGTTTGCTAATTGCATTAGGTACAAGTGAACTTCACGGTTCTTTATTTGTATGAGGTATGATTAAGCTTGGTTGGGGGCGTGAGTGGTAGGGTTTACAAATCAAAGAAACTCTGGTTTGACCCATTAAAAGAGAGTACTATCGTTATTACTGTATTAAAAAAAAAAGTACAATACATACTCACAACAACTCTTTCTGACAATCACTTGGACCAAAATTTTCTAAAAACTTTTATTGAAAAAAAAACAAAAATATCTGGACTAGCCTATGAGACGCAGGAAAAAAGACCATAAGAACAGCAGCTATTATTTAGAGATAGTTCTCATACGTTACCTGCTAATAGCTTCAGAGTTTATCACTTACTGCAGGCACGGCACTTGTCGTTTAGAAGTAGTTCTCATATGCTA